CTTTGGAGAGTTTCTAGGCCACAACGTAGGAAGCGGAATCCCAAGGTCTCCAAGGTAAGAAAATACCAACTAAAACATCCTCTTTTACAAGTAAGCTCATGTGCTTTTCTAATTTGTCATTTTCCAAATTATTTCAATCTTACTCTTTATCAGATATCCCCACCCTTTTTGGTTTATTATTAACACACATTGATGTCAAAAACACAAACTTTGCCACAATTCCTAGAAGGCTTTTAATAACTAAGATGTAAAATTACTTAAACAAAGGTAATGGAAGTATAAAATCCTGAAGTATGGTACCTATTTAAAAAAAATATTTTATCACAGCTTTATTAACTAATGTTGCTTAAAATAAGTTATTTCAATACACATATTTTTATCAAAAACATACAGAAAATAAATGAATAGTAATGTTTAAGCATGTGAGTTAAATAACTGAAATTGCAAGCTTGGATAAACAAATAGGCCTCACACTTTTCAGTTGTACAAAAGATCCAAGGCAATCTCACCATCTTATGGTAAAAATCTAAGTTTAAGTTTCTTGGTTTTTTTTTTTAATTGGTTTTAACTAGTAAAAAACTAAATATTTTGGTGTATACGATTAAAATTTCTAACTATAAAATTCGTTACAATTATACAAAATATTATTTATAAACGCATACCTGTATATCATATATATGTGAGTGAGATATATATATATATCTTTTACTTTCTAAGTCTGCCTTAAATTCTCATCTCCCCCTGCCAAATCTTCCAATTCAAGTTACTGATTCTTTTCTTTGCACTTTCAATTTTTTTTACTTACTTATTTTAACCCCATTTAATATTTTATACTAGCAATACTTGAATCTTTCATAGCTTTTTATACCTTTTGCTAGCTTATTTTAATCTCACATAATCTCTTAACTCACTTTAACTGCTTTCATAATTTTCCCTTCACAATGTGTACTTTTTTTTTTTTTTTAATCTTAGGGGATAATCAGGTACAAAAGTATGCTCATGGATTTTTCAGCGTATTGTATAATTTTTAATTGGTTCCTCTTTTTGATGATGTCTTAAGTTCATCTTTTATTAAATTCCTCCTTTTAGTAAGAGTTTCAATGGGGCACATGATCACCCAGCCCAGTAGTACATTGCCCCTGTTTCCTATTAGCTGGATGTGATTATATTACTAAGTTCAGACCAAAGGGATATAAGCAAAATTGATATGCATGACTTCCAATTCTCTTCCTTAAATATAGAATGCTTGCTCTGGATTCCTCTTTTCCTATCTAGGTGGCTGGAAAACATGAACAGTTGATTTTCCTGCCTCAAGAGATGGATGATAGAATTCCTGCTTCTTGCAGATGATGGTAGAGCCATTTTGTTAGTCTGGGTCCTTGGATGAACTCAAGAAGTATCTACTTACTCATAAGCACCTTGGAATGTCACATAAGAATAAAATAAATTTTTATGTTAACATTTTGGGCTGGATAGTTTTTTTGTTGTGAGGGCTGTCTTGTACATTGTAGGATGTTTAGTAGTACCCTTGGCAGCAAATGCTAGAAGCCTACAACACCTCCCCTCCATTCCTGTTGTGACAAACAAAAGTGTGTCCATTATTTGGAAAACATTCCCTACAAGGAAAAATTGTCCCTGGTCAAGAACCACTAGTTTATAGACAAACTAATACAGAAATACTGCCAGTACGTGGGATGCTGTATGCTGCCTTAATAAAACTGATAAAATATGATATTCACTTAGGGGTCAGGTGGGAGAAAATGAGGAAAAAGACATGGAAGGCTGGAAGGTGGTGATTATTTTCCTGCTGTGGCATTTGGTAAAACTGTTGCCTGTGGTATCATAGTAGAAAGAACACATTCCTACAGAACCTAGAGCTACAGGAAAAAGTGTTTAGAAAGGCAGAATATCAGTATGTTTTGTTGTTATATGCTGTTTTAAGCAAAATACTGCAACAAAAAAGGAGTTTATTTACTATTGGAAGTTTGTACCTCTTAATCCTCTTCATCGATATGCGTTTGTCCACATGAGCATATAAGAGGGCAGAAATATATATGGGTTCACAATCCTTTATTCAAGACATGTTTTGTAATTCTTAATTCTTTTATATTTCAGAATAATATTTTGTTGTATATGTCATACATTACCCATCTCAGGAAGGACTGGTACCTTAAAATTAAATATATTAATATTTCATCAGTACAAAACGTTCATACTAACAAGTGAAATAAATAAAGATTAAAAATAGCCTTTAAAATTACTTGTTCATTTGTTGCTTTCAATTTTATATTGCACATATGAGTGAAATCATATGGTTCTCAACTTTTTCTGTCTGATATATTTTGCTTAGTGTGATAATCTCAAGATCCATCCATGCTGTCACAAATGGCAGTATTGCACCTTTTCTTATGGCTGAGTAATATTTTATTGTATATATGTACCACATCTTTATCCAATCATCTGTCGAAAGGCACTTTGGTTGTTTCCACATCTTGGCCACCACGAATAATGCTGCAATGAACATAAGGTTACATAGAACAGCCAGGAAATATTGGACAATCTGCCTGCAACCTAAATTGGCTAATAGACCAGGAAAGTGAATTGAAAGTGAGTTCTCTCAGAGTTGGAAAAGCTAGCTGTCTCAATACTACGAACAGTATGAAAAAGACTGTCACTCACAGTTTTCTCAAAAGCCTCCCATTTGGAGTTTTTCGCCAAAATTAAAGAGGCCACAGGCAAAGATCGGATTATAGGGGTTACCTTTTGCACAAGTTAACTACTCCTAAGATGAAGAAGAGGAAAGTGAGCACAGTAAATAGGCCAATTAATTAAAAGCAAGATTCAGAGGATTAAGAATTATAACTAGAAGACAGTTGAGGCTAAGGTTCTTTCACATGTAATTATATAAATCTTGGTTTTTGAGAAAGTTGAAAAATCACAAGTCTGTCCTGGAATACCTTTTAATCATGTGATTTAATAAGAAATCCCTGGTTTCTTAAAACTGCACCAGTAAAGAGGAAGCTAGAAAAACTGTGCAGTTTAGCCTAATGTGGCCTAATTCTCCATTACCTGCTTCAGAATTTAGGATGAGAGATTAGGAAATAAGGAAAATTTCAGATGCCCAAATTTGGGGCCAAAAAGGACAATGAATAAGAAACTTCCTTCCAGAAAACAAAACTAGAGTCTAAAGGAAATTCTTCCACTGTCAGGTCAGGGTGCTCTTGCAACTTTGTAATGAACCAATGACTTTTTTGGGTGAGGATTTTTATTGCTGTTATCTTATTTCTTTTCTAGCACTCTATATTGGGTGTATAGAGAGAGGAGTGTTGGAGGTATGAGAAAAATAAATGACTGTACTTTTTAGTTTGACGGGTTGGGTATCTCAAGGTTATGTACAGTTTTTTTTTTTCTATGCAATCCAGGGGACAGTTTGTCAGAAACCATTAATTCCCTCCCCCACCCAATATCTATTCCCCTCTATTTCCTTTCAGTAATAGAACCTGTTGATTTTTAGTTGAGTATAAGATACCTAACAAAAGAGAATACATTCCACAAGCCTCTCTTGCAAAATAGGCTTTATCATACAACTAATAGCCAATAGAATAAGTGAAAACAAAAATTCCTGAACTTTATGGGTTATATATTTATGAAAAAAAAAAAATATTGCCTTTCACTAACTCCTGCCTTTGGGTCGGCTATCAAGTAGTAAAAGCTCAGGCAGACATTCAGAAACAGAGATGGAGCCCACTTATTGAGAGTGATAGATTTCTTTCATTGGTTTGGTTCTCTGTCTAGAGAACCTCATGGAGAAGAAAGAGCCCACCTATGTGCGCTAGACTTTTATGCAAGAGAATAACATGTTATAAATTACTATAATTTTGGTTTTCTTTTTTACCTGTTCTTAAGTCCATACCTTAACTCTTACACCTTCTGAGGGATTACCAGGACTTTGTTAATATTGTCTTTAGAAATATGCCGAAGTTTCAGGTATGTTAAGATTATATTTTAAGTTCAGTTATTCAGGCTGCTGAATATACAGAACTAAATGGGGGCTGTGGGACATAGGCCATCATAGCTGGGATAAGTTAGTCTGCTTTTTTACTCTTAATTTGCTAACAACATTGCCCTGGACCAACTCTCTCTACAAAATGAGCAAATATTCTCCAATAGGTATTCTCATTTCTTCTACATTTCTTAGTGTTTTCTTATTCTATTTTCTAATATGGAAGAGTTTTTATATTTCCATTTTCCCCCATGACTAAACTGTTTATATACATATTTTTTATTTACTTCAAAAACCCAGTTTTTAGATTTAGCAGTTATATTTTCTATTTATTAAACATCTGTTTTGAAAAAAAGCAATCACTTCTTTATTTGAAACCTGGATTTGATTCGCAGCTTCCATTCTAACAGATATGCGTGTGTGTGCTCTTGTGCATTCATACACATAGACATGATTCCTTCCTTGGGATCATTTCTTCATTTAATAAGAATGTTTTCTTTCTCTTGTTTCTTATTCGGTAAGAAATTTCCTCTTAACAGAGCTTTAATGGTACCCATGAGTTCTTAAATATAATCATCTTTCTTAGTTTATTTGGGCACTTTCATTGTTTAATTATCAACTTTTACCCCCCCTTTTCTCAACAACATGGATTTTGTCTTATTTCCATGTTTCAAACAATGAAACAATAACAAAGTTGGACTAAAATAAAAAGGAGAGATTCAGCTTATTCAATTCACTTTAATAGGCAACTCACTTCCTACACATCACAGTGGTGAAGTTCAAATGAGATCTTAAAGAAAGTGGATGAATGCATGACAGAAGTAAAAAGAACTGCATTGCTGTGTTGATATCAAGAGTTCTTGCTGGCCCATTGCGTGGTTATTGTCTAGGTCTTAATACAGGGGTACATTTAAACAAAAGTCAAGTAGAGATGTAAAAGCACTAAACTGACTTAAAGGCTGTGGACAGAAAACAGTAGGAAGGAACATTTTGTCAACTACAAGTTGCTTAGGGCATCCACTCCAGGAAGGACTTTACCTTCCAGAAGCTCTAGACTGGCACCTCCTCCAGTGCTTACATGGCTGATTTTATCTTCAGTATTCCATTTGGCACAGCAAGTAGCAGTGTCTCCACCTCCTATAATGGTGATACAGCCTCTGGAAGTGGCTTTCACGATTTCATCCATGAGGGCTTTGCTTCCCTTAGCAAACGCATCCCATTCAAATACCCCTACAGGTCCATTCCACACAATTAGCTTAGCTTGGGCCACAACTTGAGCATACTTCTTGTTGGTCTCAGGGCCACAGTCCAAAGCCATCCAGCCAGCAGGTATGCCTGATGCTACAGTGGCTTGGCCAACCTTAGCATTCTCCTCAAACTTGTCAGCTGTGACAAAGTCAACAGGAAAGGTGATGTTCACACCATTCTTACTGGCTTTGGCCATGATATCTTTGACAATTGTGGCTCCCTGTTCATCAAACAAGGAAGCACCAATCTCCATGTTTTTGAGCACTTTGAGGAAGGTATAAGCCATCCCACCACCAATAATCATCTCATTGACCTTGTCTAGCATATTTTTGATGAGCTGGATCTTGTCTGCCACTTTGGCTCCACCGAGTATAGCCAGAAAGGGTCTCTCTGGGTTTTCCAGGGCTTTGGCAAAATATTCCAGCTCTTTCTTCATTAGGAATCCAGATGCTTTCTGAGGCAAATTCACTCCCACCATGGAGCTGTGAGCCCGGTGAGCAGTGCCAAAAGCATCATTTACATAGACATCACCCAGCTTGGAGAGAGATTCTCGGAAAGCTTCTATTTTTTGTGGCTCAGCTTTAAGCTTATTTCCAGAAGGATCCTGGCCCTTCCCTTCTTCCTCTACATGAAAACGTAGGTTCTCCAGCAAGATGACTGAACCTGCAGGTGGATTGGCACAGGCTTTCTCCACTTCTGGGCCCACACAGTCTTTCAGGAACAGAATATCCTTACCCAGCAAGGATTTGAGCTCAGCAGCAACAGGCTCCAAGGAGTATTTATCAGGCATGGCAACACCATCAGGTCGACCTAGATGACTCATAAGAACTACTGACTTGGCTTGATTATCCAGGCAGTACTTGATGCTTGGGATGGAAGCCTTGATTCTCTGGTTATTTGTAATCTGGTTCTTCTTCATGGGAACATTGAAGTCTACTCTCATAATGACTCGTTTTCCTTTAACATCCAATTTGTCCAAAGTTAACTTCTTAGAAAGAGACATCTTGACAATACGAATACAAATAAAATGTTGAAGAACCACTTCGTTGCTGGCGGCAGGCTGGGTGGGTGGTGTGTTTCTAACGCCCGTCTCTTTGGCCCGGCCCCTTTCTTCTCAGGACTAAGTCTCCCAAACGACAACCATGATTGGGCTTGGGAAAAGAAACCTGGCTGTGTGATTGGTCAGTGGTCCTGTCCATCTGGATTTGGAGTGTGTTGCGTGGCACAGCTTGAAACCGAGCAGTCGCACGTGTAAGGGAAGCTGGAGTATTAGTACTTGGCTTGGGTGACGGTTGAAGAGGTGAAGAAATCCTGGAATAAGGAAGGTCCTGAAATTCAAACTTCCTACGGGTTCTCTTTTTTCCACATCCGTTTTGACGATTGCTTAAAAAAGAAAAACGAAAAAAAAACAAACCAAAAAAACCGCACTCCTCACTCATGTCAAATACAAGCTATATCTAAGTGTAAAAACTTCTGAACAACACAAATAAAGGGAGAATTGGAAACAATGGGTCTATGGAACCTTGTTTATTCGAGGCAACATAGTATGCTTTTGTTTTTTCCCTTGGTAAATACTTGTTTCTGTTACGAGCAGAGTTTGGTGTTAACCTTTGGCTTTACGTATATATAGCCTAAGGTAGGTTAGGAATGATATATTTCATTATCTTGCTTTTCCCATTATCAGACTACCGCGCAAGAATGTGTGGTGGCTTCTTCAGGATAATCTCATAAGATCAAAGAAAAGTATCAGTAAAGTACTGAAGGTGACGGTGACATTTCTTTCAGGCTACAAAGTTATGACGAGGCTCCTTACTTTTTCTTGCCTCTCTCTTTGCTTCATTACCTCTATAAATTAGAAACTCGGCTGGAGGAGGTATGGTTTTCATAGGATGATAATGTCTATTTAAATTGAAAATGAGTCAGAGATTTTATTTTTGAAGAAAATATATATAGCCGATTCATTTAGTAATAAAAACTGGCTTTGCAATTAGTTGATATGGCAGTTTCCTAAAGTTGAATAAACTAAATATGTAGCATGAAAGTATATTTGAGGCATCACACACCATAATGGCTATAATAATAACAACAAAAAAAAGATAGACAATAGCAAGCGTTGACAAGGATGTAAAGAAATTAGAATATTTGCATATTGCTAGTAGGAAAGTAAAATGGTTCACTGCCTTTAGAGAGCAAATTCCTCAAATATTGCATATGGAGTTACCATATGACCTAGCAATTCCACTCCTTATATATTTACTACAATGATATCACAATGCTTGTACAGTAGCTAACATACAAAAATCTGACAGTAACAAATACTGTCAAAGATGCATTGCAAAAACAGTCTCATTTATGGCTTATTGGATTGAGGTTTGATACAACCACTTGGAAAACAGTTTGGCAGTTTCCTATAAACATAGACTTATAGTACAAGCCATAAATTCTACTCCTAGATATCTACCCAAGTACACAAAAACCTACATACACTCAAAATTTTGTATACAAATGTTTAGAGCTACTTTATTCATAATTGCCCAAAAAGTGGATACTCTTTAACTAGTATGAAGACACAAAGTATGAAGACATTGTATAATTCCACTTATATAATATTTAAGAAAGGATGTAACTAAAGGGATGGAAAACACATCAGTGATCGCCAGGTATTAAGGAAAGATGGTCAATTATTATGTGGATGCAAAGATTTTTAGTATGATAGACAATTTCTATGTACATGTCAAAATCCATAAAATTGTACATTATAGAGACATATAATGAATGAAAATTTTAAAAAAATGAACCAAGATGTTGAGAACTCTCAGGGTAGAATGCAGACTCTGAAAAATGAACCAACCGTATTGCAATATATGACAAATCTCACTGAAGGTGATAGGGAAGAAAGATGACTTTAATAACTTTGGAAAAGTGGTTTCCAAAAGGTAAGACTTAAGACCAAAAAAGACTGTTCATAAATGTAATCCTCTGGTAAATTTATCACAGGCATATATTTTAATTCTGAAACTTCTTTACATGTATACTAGAGTAATTGTAGATCAGTATCTCGCTGTCAGAAAAAGAAGTTACGAACAAAGAGAAAGATTGGAATGAACTCTGCAGTATTGGATTAGAGTCAGAGATAAAAGTATAAACGCATAAAAACTTCAACATGTATGTACACACATAAATACGAAACAATTATAGATGTGTATACATATTAGGTTTTTAATATTGCTGTAATAAATTATCATAAATTGAGCTACTTAAAACAACACAGTTTTTTTACCTTAGTTTTGTAGATCAGAAATCCAGTTTGGCTCTACTGGTTCCTCTGCTCTGGGTTTCATGAAGTTGAAATCAAGATGTTGGTGGTTTGTCGTGTCCAGCAAGTGGTAAATCCTGCCACGTCCAGCGCGGCTCTGGAAATATACCTGAGTGGGAATGGTGGAAGATGAAGAAAAGAAAGAAGACAGAAAGCTGGGATCAGGAGGCCCCCTGCCTGCTGATGGTGGACAATGGCGCAGTTTTATTTTTGCAAGCTGCTTTTATACATTAGTATGTTTTATACAGAACATACTAATTGGCATAAGAAGTTTCCCTTAGGCATAGCAATACTGTTTCTTCTACTTTTCCCAAGCCATATCTTATCATTACCTTCAGCTTGTTTGCCTGCCTGCGACTACATTTGTACTTTCTTTTTCTCAGAGTTTGTGGAGGTGAGGTAATCCTTGGTTGCCCTCGCAGACCGTAAGGTCCTTGTCGGCTTATAATCCGTTTTCCACAGTGGATGGGTTCTTACTGGGAGATTCGGGGTAGAATTTGTTTCTGAGTTCATTTAGGCTTTTGGAAAAATCCAGGTTTTTTTGCAGTCATAGGACTGAGATCTCTGCTTCTTTGCTAGTTTATTAACAAGCCCGTAAAGGCCCTATTGGCCCTACCGGTCACAGGGGCACCTATACCTGAGACAGCAATGGTGCGTTGAGCCCTTCTTACACCTGAATCTATGATTTTCACTTTTACTGCATCTTTCTTCTACCTTCAGCCAGAGAAAATTCTCTGTGGTTAAGGACCCCTGTGATTAATTTATTGGGCCTACCTGGATAACTAAGGATAAATTCTCTGTTTTAAACTCCATAACAATTGTATCTTCAAAGTCTCTTTTGCCATGTAGCATAATATCTTCACAAATTTTGGAGAATAAGGCATAGATATCTTTAGTGGGCCATTATTCTGTCTACTACAACATGATTTGTATACATATAAATATTTCCAAGTTCTGTCCATAAGTAGGGCTAGAAAATATCCTGGTGCAAAGAAAATATCTTGGGACCAGATCTTGGTTTCTAAATAATATTCTCTGATAAAAGAAATCAGGGCTCCTTGGATAAATGACTGGTTCTCAGAGTAGAGGGAGAAAAAAGAAAAAAAAAATAGACAAATAAGACTTCATAAAAGTTAAAGAAATTTGTGCATTAAAAGAAGTTATCAACAGACTAAAAAGGCAACTCACAAAATAGAATAAAGTATTTGCAAATCTTATATCTGTTAAGAGAGTAATATTCAGAATATATGTAGGACTCTTAAAACTCAACAATGAAAAAACAAACAACCTTATAACAATGGGCAAAGGACCTAAATAGGCATTTCTCCAAAGGAGATAATTAATGGTCAATTAGCACATAGAAGATGCTCTGTATCACTAATCATAAGAAATGCAAATGAAAATTACAATGAGATACCACTGTAGCCTATTAAAAGGGCAATTATCAAAAAGAAAGAGGAAGGAAGGAAGGAAGGAAGGAACGAAGGAAGGAAGGAAGGAAAGAAGGAGAAAAGTAAAGAAAAGAAAAAAAAAGGAAGGAAGAAAGAAAAAGGAAAAAGAAGGAAAAAATAAAAGTAACAACTACTCAGGATGTAGACTAATTGGAATCTTTTGTGCACTGTCTATGGGACTGTAAAATGGCACACATGCTGTGGAAAACAGTATGGTAGTTCCTCAAAAATTAAACATAGAATTAGCATATGATCCAGCAATTCTTCTTCTGGGTATATATTCAAAATAATTGAAAGTAGGGTCTCCAAGAGATGTTTGGATGCCTATTTTCATTGCAGCATTGTTCACAATAGCTAAAATATGGACACAACCTAAGTGTCTACTGACAAATACGTAAGTAAAATATGGCATACGCGTACAATAGAATAAAAGAGGAAGAAAATTCTGACACTTGATACAACATGAATGAAACTTGAGGACATTAAACTGAGAGAAATAAACCAGTCACAAAAAATAAATACTATATGATTCCACTCATATTACGTATTTAGTGAAGTCAAAATCACAGAGACAGAAAGTAGAATGGTGGTTGCCAGGGACTGAAAAAAAGCGAAAATGGGAATTATTTTTTATGGGTATAGACTTTTAGTTTTACAAGATGAAAAGAGTTCTAGAGATGGATGGTGATGATGGTTGCACAACGTTAAGAATATATTTTAATAATACTTAAACTGTTATTTACATGGTGAATAACAGGACCTCAAAAGAGTAATGTAAAAAAACACACATTGAGATATCAGTTGAGGTTGCTTATAATATATTTTAGAATTTGTAATGTACTCGTATACACAGTTATGTACTTTTCTATTGCTAAACTTAAATCTCAGGTGTAAGCACAGAAATTTTGCAGTTAAATATCTTCCCCAGAATCAAGCACTGAGGACATTGTCTCCCAAAATTAAAAATTCCAGTGCCATGGGTTGCTTCACTTATAGGTCAACTTAAAATGTCTTCTTAACCAAATCCAGTTTTCATCTATGTTTATACGTCTGTACATCCTTCTCCTGTAGTTCTTGGGCAGGTTTTCTAGGTCCTGTTTATGCAAATATCCTCTGACTGCTTTTCTGGTGAGTCCTGTATTGGCTGAAAGCCCGAATGTATTTTCCCATAGTGGTGATTGAAATCTATGGTGCGAATATCTCATAACAGGTTATTGAATTTTAGAGAAGTCAGAAAAAAAAACTGTGAAAATTGATAAATTATTGGTATAATCTATTATTTCTATGAGGAAGCCTTTGAAAAATTTAAAGCAGATTAGCTTCACTTCACTTTTCGGTTG